AAAAAAGCCTGCTCATACTCTATGCACAATGTTGGAAACAAGAAAGAATTCCAGAGTTAGAAGAATGGATACAAAAAACTTTTTTTATGGCTGAGATGGACAAAATTACGAAAAAATTGAATAACAAAGAAGATCAGGAATTCTATGAGGAATGGAGAGACTTTAAAATTTACCTAGAAAAGAACTGGGATGTAAAGCACAATCTATTATATTCAGAACAATATTGAAACTAGAATATGATGTTATCTTAAGGTGTACTGGAGTGACGAGGGGGGAAGCATTGCGGGAAGCCACGGGGAGGGGGAGAGTAAAGTGGGGATATTGGGGATAAAAATTGAAACATTAATGGAACTGATGACATGTCAATATTTTCATGAAAAATAAAATTGTGTTCTAAAAAAAAAAAAAAGCCTGCTGCCTCTGTCCTCCTTTCTCCTGGAGAACACTCTGGTCTCTCTATGCCCTTATTAGGAAAAGGCTGGCTGCCATTTAAAAGTGAAACCAAGAGGCAGAGAGATTTGGGGAGGGGAGAGACTTCAGTGGGGTGCAGTGCTATAGAGTCCACATTCCAAAGTGGCCATCTTCTGGGTTTCAATTTCAAACAACAATAGTGCAGCATCTAATATGAAGATGGACACTGTGACCAGAGCTTGCGGCAAATCCAAATGCCAACTTTGCTGCCATATACCACTGGACTCAAACTTGGTTCTACTGCTTCAGAACCAACATTGGCTGCGGTCACACGGAGCATTAGGCACGCTAGAGGGACGGAAGATAGGCGGATTTTCCGGGCGCGATCTCACCGCCACATCTGGGAAGCGTCGAGCTCCTGTGGCGAACCCGAGGCTTCCCGCAGAAGATGCGCAGTAAAAAACTAGTACCTCGGAGGTACTAGTTTCCTGAAACCGCGGGGCAAGGGCGGGTGTCTGATTGTGTTTCCGGTGGTAGTTCCTGCGCCTGCCCATGTCCCCTCACAAAAAGGTTTTTTTCCCAAAGTCTCCACGGATGCGTACAAGCACCCAAGGGAGCATGCACATATTTGAGTTTTTTTTAAAAAACCATCCCCGTTTGCCACACGCCCCGCTTCTTTGCCGCACCGCAGGACTGTGGAGTGATCGTCACCTCCCCCCTACCACAGGACCTCAACAGGACCTCCACAGTAGGTCTGCTCGCGCAACCGTGCATTTTTTAGCCCCGGGGCAAACAGCCCCCCCCCCCCCCCCCCCGCATTTTCCTGCCCGTGTGCCTGCAGCCATTGCTGCCCATCTGGATTTAGACTTTACAGTGTCCATGAGTTTGGATTCATGGGGGGCTGTTTTGGTACTTGAAAAGGTTTGTGTGTGTGTGGGGGAAGGGCACCTTGTCCTGCTACTATGGGCCCAATCAGGATCAGACCCTTGCACCATTTTTAAATGGCCAACTTCAGCTTTAAAATAGTTTTGGCTTCCACAGTCAGACCCATAAACATGTCAATACCTAGTTTTGGCCCTTAGAATGTCTGTCTTAAAGAAAAAGAAGAGAGAAAGACTGGACTTTAAAATAGACTGTTGTACACATAAATATATACCAAATAGTAATTGTGGATTGGGGTTTGGATTTAATACTTTTCATGTTTGCGTTTTACTGTGTTGTTTCAGTCCAGCTTTTCTTTTCTTGTAGTTTATATCTGAATTATTTGTACATCAGGTTCCTTAGAATACAGTTTTTGTTTCTTAGATTTTAGTCTTGCAGATTATTGATGTCTAATGATTGTCTGTGTTTGTATTACAATGTATTGTAATACATTAGCCTGAACTGTTCAGGGCAGCTCAGATCATATATTTGAAGATGAACTACATGAAGGAAGAGTTAATTGTGAATGCACAAAAGGGTGATCTTATGGTACGGAATACTGTTGTACTGAATACCTGGTTTTTTTGTGTTCTTTTAAAAGATTCTCATATTAGTGGACAAAATTCATTGCTGGTCAGGAATAGATAGAGATGTGATGGGGGGGGGAGAAAAGGGGGAAAATAGATGGCTTGAAGATAAATAAGACTTCTTGGGAGCTGATCTTTCGAGATCAGATAAAGTTCCCCTATGTTTCTTTCCTTGTGATGGCAGCACATCAAAACCTTTTCAGTTTAATAACCTACATTTGGGATGCAGGGGCCAGTGTGCATTCGGTGCTTTCTAAGCTACTGATATAGAGAATCCTGATAAAACTTGATATTATTTGGCTTTTATTTGGGTTGACACAGTAATACCAAATTGCAGCTTCTCCTGTCCTGTGGTTTAAACTGTGGGGCAGGAGAAGCCTCCCAGCCAGGTCTCCATGCGGAGTGGAGAGACCTCCCACCACATGGAGATTCTGGGGCCAGCTTCTCCTGGCCCTTGGTTTAAACCTAGAAGCCTAATGCGTTTAAAGGGACCATTCTTTTAAATGTGTTTTGCACTCAGAAGCCTTCCAGGTTCATTAATCCCTCGTCTTGCAAAATGTGTTTGAAGGGACTGTCCCTTTAAATGCCTTTTTCAATCTGCTGTCAGTTTGATACCCCTAGCTTGCAGGGGGGCATTTGACACCCCTAGCTTGCAGGGGGACATTTGCACATGGAACCTAGGATCTCCCCTGCACAACCTGGAGGGTAAATAGAGAGGCATTTGAGGAGGTCTGCTGCCAGTTTGATGCTTCTAGCTTGCGGGGGGGGGGGGTGTTCAACAAACTCCTTCCCCTTTTGCACATGGATCCTAGGATCTTCTCCCACCCAAGTTAATCTGCACACAACTTGGAGGGCAGGTAGAGGGACACCCCAGGGCGGCCCACTGCCAGTTTGATGCCTCTAGCTTGCAGGGGGGCCTTTTGCACATTGGACCCTATGATGTCCTCCCCAGCCAATCTGCACACAACTTTGTTTATTATTTTATATTGAAATGTATATTGTTTTATTGGTTTTATGTGAGCCGCCTTGAGCCTGGTTTGGATGGGGAGGGTGGGGTAAAAGTTAAATGAATAAATATAAATAAATAAAACTTCAAATGTGTTTTGCAAGCCATGGTTCACTCATGTTGTGGGCCTGCAGAACGTATTTAAATGCCAACCTGAAAAATTCTCAATCCTGATTATTTCCCAGATCCCAATATCATACCTATATTGGGATTCAGGAATATTGGGAAATACTAATATTTTTCAGGTTCAGTACACCCCAAAATACCGATTTTTGGTGTATACACCCCTAGTGTCAATGCATGGCTGGTTTACAGACTGATGCAACAACTTGTTGGTCAGGGTGATCTTTTTATATTTCTGTAAAATTGACATGGAAGCTCAGAGGGTGCACAAAGTACATATACTGACTTACATGTTTCTATTCCCCCCTCTTTCCATTCCATGATGGATTTTTTTATGGGAAAAGGGTTTAGACCCTCAATGAGAAACACAAACAGAATTCCTTCCTTGCCCTACTGCCTGTGTGGATCAGAACTGGCTTGAGGGAACCCAGGGCATTTTACAAGGGCAGTTGTTTCTGCGTTTGTGACGGCTGCCTCATTAAATGTTATGTTTCTCAAGGAAGAGTAGATCATGGTTATTAGCTATGTTTGCATACAAAAAGGATGGCATGTAATGATATGCATAACTATTATGTATTTTGATGCAAAGGCAATAATGGCATTTATATATTGCTTTACCATGTTCCAAGAGCTATCCACAATCTCAGTGATCCTGATAATGCCCCTATTATGTAGGATAGTATTATCCTCAAACTGCAGAGGCTCAGAGATCATAGCCTGCCTAAGGCTCGGGTTTGTGGCTGTGATGGGATTTGCTGGCTAACACTCCTGACCACACTGGCCAATTACTCTTGGTTTGTATACCACATCTATATTGTTTTATAAACTAGAACCCGGTCTAGTTTGCTGCAGAATGATGTGGTAGAATGGATTGCATCCAAGATTTACATTTGTTTCAGGTTTGGCTAGGCTGCGTAGGTGGGACAGTAATTCAGACCACAAGAGAGAGGGTGCAGCTCCATTTTATTAGTTAAGAAGACAGTGAAGAATGCAAAGCATCATTACCAACAAAGGCTGCTCTCCATCCATGGAAACATATAAACACCAGGAAGGGGATGGGTGTTCCTCCTCCTTTCAGGTGGAAGTGAGACTTTCGTTGCCATCCTAAGCAGTTATTACATCCTTCTAAGTCCATTGAAGTCAAAGGGCTTTAAACAGAGTAACTTTCTTTAGGATTGCTCTGTTAGACATCTGCTCAGTCCAAGGCAAGACTTTGTACTTGGTTCAAGAAGACCATTCTTTCTAGCTTGACACTCTTGTTCTGTGGAAACAAATGCCACAGTCTCCCTGGTCCATGCTTCTGAGAGGTTGTCTGTTGCCATTAGTTGCCCAAGAGTAGTATGTGGCTACCTGTGCACATGGAGTCATTGGGTGCATCCTGATTTGGGATGACACATTCTGCCTAAGGAATTCCATGTGCGATAGTAATGGGGCAACTATTAGGATAAACAGGGCCTCGGGAGTACTGAAAGGTAGTTGTAAGGTAGCATTAGAACAACACTTTTTATTGTATAACAACAGTGTCATCAAGATTAAATGGTACCAGTGGTGTTTGTGCAATGTACTCTATCACACTTGCAAGTGCATCACTTGTATACTGATAATAATGTCAAGAGTTCCCTTGTCCACATGAACAGGTCATCACAGATATAACACCATGGATAGATCTTTACTGTAATCGTACTCAGAGCTTAACTACATTTTACAGTTTCTTCTGTTATTATTTTAATCCAATTTTCTTTTCTTTTGCTAGCGCCGCCTCCAAAATTCCTTTATCAAGTAGGAGAACAGTGTGGCAGGAGAAGTAGGGGAGTTGTAACCCTCTGTTCTCCCGCCTTTTTGGGCAGGCTAGAGAAAGCCAAAGTGACTTACACGATCACTGTTTGCAAGGTTATGTTGCTTTTAAAAATATATTGAAAACTAAATCTCTCCTCCCTTTTTGTTTTCTTTAGCACCTTGTAGACGCAGCGGAGAGATTTCAGAAAGAGCATCAGTGGCAGGACGAATTTGCGGTAAGCATCTGGTTGTATGTGGTTTAATTTGGTCATTTAGAATTGTAAAAAGTTGCAAAAAAGAAATTATAGAATTTTTCCAACTAAATTTATCTACTGAAACTTCGTTAGAAATAATTTGGGACGCATTTAAGGCGTATATAAGAGGGCGATTTATTAGCTACAATGCGTGGAAATGTAAACAGAAGAAAGAGAAATATGTACAGTTAACCCAACATATTAAACAACAAGAAAACACAGTAAAGAACGCCAAAGGAGAGGGAAGTGCAAAGATTAAACTAAATCTTTTACATCATAACTTAAACAACTTACTAAACTATGAAATTGAGAAAAAAATAGAATATACTAAACAATATTACTTTGAAAATTTAAACAAACCTAACAGATGGTTGGCCTATAAAATCAAGAAAGAAAGAGAGAAACGCACGATAATTAAGTTAAGAAACGAAAATAATGAAGAAAAGTTTAACATACAAGAATTAAAGAAGATAGTGGAAAAATTCTATAAGGAACTTTATCAACAAAACACATTAAATGGAACTGGAATTGCAGAATATATCAGAAGCAGAACAATAAAATTTAATATACATCAGAGAAAAATACTGAGTGATCCTATAACTCCATGTGAAATTGTGGAGGCAATTAGAAAACAAAAAAAGAAAAAAACTCCAGGTCCAGATGGAATACCGGTGGAATTTTACCAGACCTTTGAAGAACAGCTATGGACACCCTTTAAAGAACTTTGTCAGAAAATAAGTTTAAACTCTATAGTACCAGAATCTTGGAACCTCGCCCTGATAACATTAATCCCAAAACCAAATGCTGACAAGAGTGACATTAAAAACTACAGACCCATATCCCTCCTCAACGCGGACTATAAAATATTCGCCTCAATACTGGCAGGCAGACTAAAAAAAGTTTTGATAAATATGATACATCAAGACCAAACCGGTTTTCTACCCAAAAGGCAAATGAGAAATAATATAAGGATTATAATAGATACACTAGAATACTACGAAGAACATCCAGAAAAGGAGTTAATGTTAATATTTCTAGACGCAGAAAAAGCGTTCGACAACCTGTCATGGGACTTTCTATTACAAAAATTACAAGCAGCAGATCCAGGCCAAGAATTTTGTAATACAATAAGAGCTATATATAAGCAACAATATGCTAAAGTAATAGTAAACGGAGATTTGACGGAAACTATAGAGATTCAGAAAGGAACTAGGCAGGGTTGTCCGTTATCCCCGCTTCTCTTCGTATTTGCAATAGAATCACTTAATGAAGACATAAGAAACAACAAGCTAATAAAAGGCTTGAAAGTGAAAGGAGAAGAATTTAAATTACAGGCATTTGCAGACGACCTGGCATTCATTTTAGAAAATCCCAAAGAATCGGTAGATGATCTGATGAGAACTATACATCACCACGGACAGGTTGCGGGATTAAAAATCAACTATAAAAAATCTAAAATACTGGTAAAGAATTGCACTCCGAACACGATAGGGTACATTCTAGAGCGCACCAAGATGGAAATAGTTAAAAAAGTTAAATATCTGGGAATTCACATGACAAACAAAAATAACTCACTAATTGAAGGGAATTATACGAAACTCCTGAAAGATATTAGATTGGATTTGCAGAAATGGAATGCTATTCCATTATCCTTTATGGGTAGGGTCGCGTTGGTTAAGATGAATGTGTTACCTAGATTTTTGTATCTGGCACAAAATATACCTGTGTTAAAAAAACAAAACTTTTTTGAAGATCTTAATAAAGCCACTAGACAATTTATATGGCAGCATAAGAAAGCCAGAATAAAATGGAAGGTGCTCCAAGATATTAAAGAAAGAGGAGGATTGAGTGTCCCCAACTGGTATATATATTACCAAGCGGCCGCCCTAGTATGGATAAAGGACTGGGTAAAACTCGAAAACACAAGACTCCTAGCATTAGAAGGACATGATCTCAGTATGGGGTGGCACGCGTATATATGGTACGGGAAAGATAAGATCCACTCAAATTTTGGTAGACACATATTAAGAGGCTCGTTAAATAAAGTATGGGTAAAAATTAAAGAAATATGGTATAAGAAAACCCCAAGATGGGTCGCTCCATTGGAAGCATTTATTATTCCCTCAGCGATAACAATGAATTTAAAGAAAAGCTATCAAACATTATTAAATAAAAAAAATGAATTAAAAACAGAAGAAAAATTGAGAAAGGAAAATAATCTATCATGGTGGGAGCAAATAACATTAAGAGATAGATTTAAGAAAGACACTATAAGAGGATTTGAGGATCAAAACAATGAATTAGATAAAATATGGCTGTCCTCAAACGATAAATTGATCCAGAAACTGTATAACTTACATATAAGGGAATTCATGAAGGATGAAGAAGTTAAAAATGTAATGAACACCTGGGTGAAAGATATAGGGGAAATCGAGGAAGAACAGTGGGCAGCTATGTGGAAAACTGTTAAGTATATGAAAGCGGTCGCGTATAAAGAAAACGTATATAAGATGTTCCATAGATGGCACTGGGCACCCGTTAAACTGGCCAAATGCTATAGGGGGTATTCCGATAAATGCTGGAAATGTAAAAGTTGCAAAGGAACGTTTTACCATATGTGGTGGGAGTGTAATAAAGCTCAAAGATTCTGGAGAATGGTCAGGAAAGTCCTTCAAGAGAGTTTAGGAATTAACGTAGCACTAAAACCAGAAATATACCTGTTAAACATGATTCCAAAAGGTTACAAACAACAGGATGCATATATAATCAGCTATATTATAACAGCAGCCAGACTGTTAATAGCTCAAAACTGGAAATCTGAAAGCTTACCTACTAAAGTAGATTTGGTAAATAAAGTGTTGGAGCTAGCCAGAATGGACGATCTAAGTTTAAAGTTACAAAATAAAGATGAGAAGGTACACAAAAAGAGATGGGATAAGATATATAATTGGATAGAACTCCAGACAGAAATGTAACTAGAAAAAGATATGCTACATATTAGTAATACTGGCCGTTATATTACCAATGGTTAAGTTTAATAACTGGATATGTACGACTCTGATCTGTAAATAAGCTGATGGACTGTGGATATGTATACTCTTTTATCTAAAACAATAAAATTTAAACTGCAAAAAAAAAAAAAAAGAATTAAAAAGTGGGGACCTGCAAGAAACTTGTGGGAGTGGCTATCCCATTCCCTCCACATCTGCTTCTTCCCCCCTCCTCCTACTTCTCTCAAACTCTTTCTCCTTCTTGCCACCCCTTTTCTTGCTCTCTTTCTCTCCCCTCCATGCCTGTCACTTCCTGTCTGCCCCACCCCATCACTCTTTCTGCCCCTGTCATTCTCACAGCCTCCTGACTACTCCCCCCCCCAGCAGTGGCAGCAGCTGCTCTCCAGGAATCACAACACATTGCCCAAATACAGATATCAGTTCCTTTTAGGGTTGCCGGCTCCATGTTGGGAATTTCCTGGAGATTTTAGGGTGGAACCTTGGCAGGATGAGGTTTGAGCTTGGAAGTGACTTCAGCAAGGTATAATACTATAAACTCCACCCTTCAAAGCAGCCATTTTCTCTGGGGGAACTGATCTCTGTCATCTGGAGATCCATTGTAATTCCAGTAAATCTCCAGTCCTCACCTGAAGGTTGGCAACATTAGTTCCCCTGGAGGAAATGACTGCTTTGGAGTGTGGAGTCTATGACATTATATCTGTCTGAAGTCCCTCCCTTCCTCAATCCCCACTGTCCCCAGTCTCCATCCCTCAAATGTCCAGGAATTTCCCAACCTGGAGTTGGCATCCCTATCTCCTTCCCACCCAACAGCCAACCTATCTTTATCTGCCCCTCTGTCTTCAGCTTTCTGTCTCCATTCCCCCCTGCAGCTTCTACTGAGGAAAACTATGATCTTTTCCCACAGTGGGTACTAGAGCAGTTGACATTATTCTCTCCTTTTTATCTGCACAACAACCCTATGATATAGGTTTGGCTGACAGTATGTGACTGGCCCAAAATCACCCAGTGAACTTCCACAGCAAGATGGGAATCTAAACCTGGATCTCACAGACCCCACTCTGAAGCTCTGACCATTATCCTACACTGACTTTTATAGGGTAGTTGCTGTTGAACAGTAGCAAGCAGCCAGGCCTAGTTGAATCATGCAAGTCAGGTGGTATCAAGTCACCCGGAGGGTGCTGCTAGGCCTAGATTTGCCAGCCTCCAGGTGGGACCTGGAGATCCTGCAGAATTACAATCGAACCCCAGACAACAGAAATCTGTCCTCCTGAAGAAAATTGGGGGGGAGGGGGGCTCAGTGGCATTATATCCAGCTGAGGCCTCTCCCCATCCCAAACTGTACTCCTCAGACTTCACCACAGAATCTCCAGGAATTCCCTAACCTGGAGTGAGCAATAGGCCCAGAAAGTGCCTTGCCCCCTATCCCTGCCTTTTTAACCCAACCCCCCTGCGATTTAGCCATTCATACTGCAGGAGGAATCTTTTCCAATCCCAGCTCCAGTCCTGCTTTTGTTTTCTGCCCCCTTTTCCCACTCATCACCTTTCTCCATCTCTGTCTCTCTGGCTATCAGCCAGCCTATCTCTCACTGTTGATGCAGCAGGGCCTGGAGTAGATCCCTGTGGTTGTCATTTCAAAAGGTAGTGGTGGTGTTGGGAAATTCAACCCCTTCCTGAGTATTTTCCCCCAACTTTTTGGATTTTTCTGCATACCCATGGAGTCCCCTGAGTCTGCAGAAAAACATGTTGGGGGACAGTGTGCTCTCTGTTTGCGGAAATAAGTATCTGCAGGTAGAGGGGACTGTTGAGAATTAGATGTATAGAGGTCCCGTTGACACTAGCCGATTTGGGCCGGGAGCGGGACAGTTCGGAGCCGGATCAAACCGGCGCGATCACACCACAACATCTGGGAAGCGTATTGCTTCCGTGGCCGAACTGCCCCTTCCCCGCCCAAAGCCGCCTCAAACCGAACCA